CGGCCGACTTGTTCAAAAAATTATCGAATAGTGATGTCCTAGTCGTGAAACATTGGGTGTCAAGTAACTACTGAATATTGTCAACAAGCAATGCTCATGCTGCTTTAGGTTTTTCGTAAGTTCGAAGCTATGGAAAATGGGTTGGATAGTGATCACACTGTTGGAGATGGTTGCAACTCATATCGAAACAGTTCACTGTTTCTTAGGAAAATTGTTATGGGCGAAGCTCTTACGTTCAAACTTATGGTTAGACCCATCCCATGCAGGGTCAACCGTTCGTTGTTCTGACTCCAAAGAGTTTACGAGCCCCTCCTTTAGAAGGGGTCTCATAAAGACCCCACCTTACCACGATTACCTTAGGTAAGTCCCTCGATTTCCTCGATACAACCTTCCGACCCCGTCCTCACATTCCCGACCACACCCTTACTGCTTCTATATAGTATGATTTCGAAACCAGTTGACATAGCCCAACTCCGCCACATTTTCCCTCCAAAATGACCGTCAAGGTGGGGGGGGGGAGGAGGAGGGGGAGGTGAATACGGATAAGTAGGGTTGAAAAAAGGGTCAATGTGCTGAATTTGCCTTTCTCGCGCTTCTTTCCTGTAGTTTCTGTCACCGTCAAAAAACCGAAAAATACGACCCGCTCCTACTTCTCCCTCTTCCGCCGCCGCAACCACTACTGCTTCTGAAAATACGACTCTAGCCATGCGCAACCCAATTGTGCAATGAAGTGTTACCTGAACCCAAGCACGTATTGAATTGTCAGTTAAGACAACAACAGCAACGAAAACAGATTAACAAATGGACTCAAGTGAAGTATATTACTTTTCAATCCTGCCACACCAGCGTAGCCATATATTTCGCATAAACATTTGTGCAAAGGCGAAATAGCAGTGCCAAATGCGAGTCGCTCTCTTCATAGAGTTTTAGAAAGAAAGTAGGGTATCAGAAGGGAAAAAAGGAAGAAGGGGCACGAAAACATTCAGTTTTTTGTAGGCGAGACAATCAGTAATCGGGCGACGTTTTCATAATAGAAACAATTGAAATCATCGCAAGATTGAAGAGAAAAAAACTCACAATGCAAATGGAACTTCTGTTGCATCGTCGTTCCGTGTGCGGGTCTTCAATCCTGCAAATTGGTAAAAGCGAAAAAATGGGATATAACTTGCAAAGCAACAACGATTCAACAGCTTATGGCACGATTTTTTTGAAAAAGTTTAGGGTGAGGCCCGGAGGCAGAGATGTGGTAGGGCAAAGCCATCACGCAAATCGTTCAGGATTAGGACTGCTCGGAGAGGGAGGGAGGGGAGCGTTGGGCCAAATCATTCGTTGATTCGCAGGCGATCAAATTTTCAATGGACTATTTTATGTAAACACTGCGTATATGTAATACTGTTAGACGTAGGCCATTATTAATACTCAGAACGCCATTCTGATGCGGAGTGCAATTTGAAAGGTGTTGATTAACGCCGAACGCTTATCCATGAACTTAAAATTGAGGATATTTTGAGCAATGAAGTTTCGGAAGCTTTAGATTTCAACAACTATAAAGGCGGAAATAATTTTCTCCTAAATGAAGCTACGCTAGGAGAACGGAAGGCACGGCGTAGCAAAGAGGTGAATACCGCAAGCAATCAATTCGGAGTCCCGATCAGACCAGTCCAAAACTTTGGTATTTTATAGACTAAAATCGTGGTTCCTACTAAACTGTGCCACGCGGGTTGACGTTTGCCGGTTACGCACGCATACCAAAATCGACCACTTACTGACCTACCTCAGACTTCACTTCTTCGATTTTTTTTGTATTTGTGCAGGTTTTGTGCTAGATGGTGCGAAGAGCGATTACGAGACTGGGGACTAGAATTTAAGGAAGGGGAAGAAACTCGGGATGGGTAAACTACGTAGTCATCCTGCTTGGTAAGATTATTATGAGGAGGAACTCCGAAGGAAACAAAAGCTGTGCACCCCTGAGGGCCTTCTCCTGGGCTTCCCCTGACACTAACCGTTTCCGTATTCCTGGCTAGAGTTACATGCTGTCCCCCTCCGCCCCAGGCTTGTTTCCTCAGCCTAACCTAAGGAGTAGGGTGGAATAGGACTCTGTGTAGGAATTCAGTGGATAGAATTACTTTCAGATGTACACAAAAAATGATTGCTGCGGTTTTGAATGAGTTGCCGCAATGCTTCCCCGTCTTGCGATAGCGCCTCAATTCTTTAGCGCAGGTAGATTCATTTTTTTTTTGGCGTGGTTTGACGGCACTAGTTATTGCCCAGTGTTCTAACAATAAGTCCTTTATGCGATCCTTCATCCAACAAATACCTGCAAATCATCGTCGTCATAAGCTGATGGGCTGTCCCGACCTTTCTCCTCGTCAGCTCCACCATCTCTGCTACGGTATCGGCACTTCACGGTATATCCGGTGGCCGATCCCTGATCAAAAAATCTTTTGATCTCTTTTCATAGCTAAGTTTTTACACCGTTTCGAATTGGAACTTGTAAGAAAGGACCGTTCCAGTTTTTAAATGCCACCTCGCCCATATCACATTAAATGAAGCATAAAACTGATAAAGCATTCGGCGTTGATCAATACCATTTTGGAATGCGCCGCGCATTCTGCTTCCATTCAGGGTCGCAGTGGCGTTAATGGTCCTTGCCATATGCAGTGATTTGCGAGGCGCATTGACGTACAACTCAGTGTTTTTATACTTGCAGACCATCAGGCACCAATTCACCGACCGGAGTCAGTTGAAAATGTGATGCATGATCCGGGATTTGATCCCTAGACCGTGCGCGTGGGTTGAATAACAAGCAGTTAATCCAATTTATTAGTAGGCAGTGAAGTAGGAAAATCTCTACATTGCCAAGGCAGAGCGCTAAGGAACAAAGTTACCGTCAAAGAATAGAAAATGGCAATAACATTTCTCTTTTCTACTGCATCTTATTCCATCGATCCTTTTGTGTCCATCTTCCGAGGTCAAGGGCTTTAACTAATGCGTCGGCTGATACTTGGCCGCCCGCCTCAAGACGAACTTCTTTCCACTTCCTGCTTGCTCCGCCCGAGCATACCAGCCACACCGACCCCCGAGTTAGTTTTCGTAGGTTTGTTTTTTTTTGTGAAAGACATTCTTACATCTTCTTGCGTGAAACTTTGTGCGCTATCTTCAGTAGTCACAACTGACATATTCATGTTGGGAAAGAATACAAGAAACTCCTGGGGACGATATGATTTGCTATTTCGTACCGCTGATTTCACGGCGGGGTTTGCGATCAGGAAGCAGCCCCATTAGAATTAAAATAGAGGTGGTCAGTGGCGGTGGGATAGAAAAAGACCTGGAGAAACAGCCCAGACCCCAAAAATGGAGCACTTCCTCGTCCGTCGATTTTCGTGTTGGTGGGACTCTCATCGGTGTTGCCCTCGAAATGCTAACACTCTCTCTGCTGAACAGCGTGAGTTAGACGACGAGGCGGTGAACGGACAAGGGCAGGGACGGTCATGTTCGATCGCCAAGGCATATCCTTCGCTGCAAATGCGTGTAGTCCGCACCCTTGTGAGGTCCACCGGTCTATCCACTAGGTAAGTTTCCTCTTCTTCGACCTTCGCCCTTATCAAGGAATTTTCCTTTAAGTAACTTCTCCACTGATCAATCATCATATTGTATTGCATGGAACACCTGTATTTTTCATTTCTTTTTTTTATGATTCTTTCATAGGCAGTGAGAAACTAGCTACTCTTACTTGATACCCTGATCTACACTACTATACGAGGATCCACCAGAAACTAGCGACTAGCGTGATAGAGAAAAGTAGGTATTAAAATGATTATCCGTTAGGTATAGTACAGAGTTGGCCAGGTGAGCTACTGTTGAGGCGCCACTTACGAATAGAAATTTTCAATAATTAAAGGTAGATTTTACGATAAAAAGGCAACCTTTGGAAATCGAGTCAGAGATGGTCAGTGATGTAAGAAACAAGAAAGAAACAGAAAATGCCTAGAACCCGAAACATAGAACTCCCTCTTTGCCCGATGATTTGCGCACTGATGCGGCTCATCAGCGCCGTTAACGCTCTCTGTGCTGAACGGCCAGAGACTCATACACGCGACGACGGTGGGAGGTGGGTGCCATTAGTGCGCCAGTTGGGTCGCGGAGAAGACCACGCTAGATCCTCGTGGCATATCCTTTGATGCGAAGTGCCTGTCGGTCCGCACCATTAGGAGGTCCGTTTGTCTTTTCACCGAAAGAGCTTCGCCTTCTTTGATCTTATCGTTAAATCTTCGTTTAATGATAAAGCAAGAATCACGATATGGATGAAAGGTGGACCGCCGATGGAGAAAAAAGGAAAAAAAAATCCTGAAATGCACAGGAAATACGAGCATTTTGCTCTATGCTGTGGAGAAGTTCAAAAGACAGAGATGAGAGATAATGTGAGCGCGGAGAGTGGTAGAGAAGTCCGAGAAGAGAGAGCATAGCAGATCAACGCAGCGACGCAGACAAGATATCGAACGGTGGGCGGACCATGTTAAGTTTGGTGGAGTCTGTTAGAAGTCCATGGCGCCTAGGGTCCTAGTGACGCGTTTCGATGTAGAAAGGTGGCGCTACCTTTGCACTTGCGTACCCAGCACTTCTAGCCATGGTAAGGGCTTCTTAGGTGGGTCTGAGCCCGAACTTTGCCTTAAATAAGCAGAAAATTCGATTTCCAGCATCGCTAAAGTCGGCGCTAAATTCAGGCCAATTCGAGTTTCTGGTGAGGTACTGCAGTGTATTTCTTGGAAAGCCCTCGCTGCTACTCCTTTGGATATCCAGTTCATCTTTGGAAATTGATTACTTTTTAAACACCGTAATTAATTCGTTAATACTCACCCCTTGCTTGTGATTATTGCCTGAGTTGCTTTTCGTTTGAAAGTAACATGTCCGATGCGGACAATCAAATACCCGTCGAGTGATGTAGAAACTGACAAACGAATATTCCAACAGTACCAAAAAAATCAGGGCCTGCGAAAAAGTCAACCAGATGTCTAAAGCCTTGATGTAAGACACCTGAAAGGCAGTAGTTGTTAAAACTTATTAGCTGCTTACAGGAAAAGTGAAACCGACCTGTGGCAGATCTTGTCGAGCTCCATTGCTCATAGTGGTGAGAGTTAGGAGACTCGTAATGGTTAAAGTGATTCGAGCCGGAGAGGCTCGCGGATCTAACCAGAAAGTCATCCATGATATCGATACCAGCATACCTGAACAGAATGAGTTCGAAAGAGTGAACCAAAATTTGGGGCACAACGTACTGTATAGGGTTATGCAACAATTGCCGGTACCCGACATGAGGCCCATCGCGCGACAAGAAGGCAGAGCATGCTGTGCGATGCAGGGCGTACAATGGTACTTTTGATTCAATTTGACGGGAAATCACAACACTGCGACGTCCGCTGGCCCTGCCTTATTGCCGCGCGACGGACCTCGTGTCGCGTGCCCAACAGTTGCTGTTTGCTCCACTTTCGCGCCTCCAAACGCGTCGCCAGGACGCTAGCCGCTTGGGAATGGGATCCTTCGACGCTCAGAAGGATCCCTGTCCCTTCAATATCTTAGCAAAGTCTTATTGATGTTGGCCAGCTCTCCTCTTGACATGACTTCTCTTCCTCTCGGTGACTCACATTATCTCTTATCTCGCTGTTTTCTTCCTAAGCTATTCTACAGCGTAGATCTGAGATGTTTGCGTTTTCTGTGTTGCTTACGATTTATTTTCCTTTTTTCTCTACCTCTTGTCCACTTCGCACCCTACTTCTATACTCGAGGGGGATTATCACACAAATCCAATCCTTATTAGCCTCTATGTTATCTCTTGTCGAACTTTAGCAATACTGGTCGAATTGTTTAATTCTTCTGTGCCAAGCGAGGTTGATAATTGGAACCTTTTATTGAATGGCCTCGACGTTTCGACCTTTTCGTCTTCTTCAGAGGCCTGAAGATAGCTCGAAGCTTTTTGATTTTGTAAGCTACCCGACCAAGCATCTCCCCCTCTAGCGTTTCCGACGTCGTGTTGAGAAACACCTCGGAATCACTATCAAAGGTTCCACCAGCACTGCGGAGCATTCAACTCACGCCCTGTTAGTAATGTTAGTAGATGGGCAAATGAACTTCACTGAAGTCTCATACTGTCATATCGGTCGCAGACTGTCATAAAGCACGTAGCCCATTTTTATAAATCACACTCTGACACAAAAGGCAGAAAGTCACTGGTAATCGACAACGCACTCATTCCGGTTATTCGTGGCTTTCTTGCGAAAATCCACAACGATTACGGGACCCGTACAGTAAACTTCAAGAAAAAAAGATGCAACAGATGAAAGATGGAACACTTTACATCAAAGTTGTCTCCGATATGCTCCTCAATTTTATGCTTGCCAAGTGGGGTTGTCGTTATACCACGCCTCTTTCCAGCTAGGTGCTCATTGACGCGAATAGCTAGTATCCTTCCTGTTTCTCCGATATAAGTGCTATTACAAACCCGACATTCAAGCTGATAAATTGTCCCCACTTTTTCACAGTCTCCAATCTTACCATATGAACTAATGACACAAATTACACAGCCTGTTGTCTGTTTGCCGGTCGTAATGTCTGTTGCGAACAAGTTGACGTTTGATGTTGCTATTAGGAATGTTCACTAATGCAACATCATTTTGTAACTGTGCTCTCACAATACTGCGATGTATTGCAGCGCTAACACTATCGGAGATGAAAGGAAGGCATAAGGGTAACTTTTACTGGCGTGACACGTGCTGCTGGCCAGCTTCAATCTTCTGTGAAATATTGGTGCCGTATAACCGTATGCGTTAGCTACTTTGAAAGCCAATTTTCGAGTCTCTTCACTCTTCATCGCCAGTACACATCCTAGTTGCCGTTATGAGCATATTCGTAACAACTGCAGGTTTTACTCGAACAGGTGAGACGACGTCGCATGAAACAAGATATTTTCACACCTTAGCTTACGATACCATTGAAGTTTCCAATGCTATCAGACAACTTTATCTGCGTATTAAAGACAAACCCAGGGATTAGCCCGACCTGTAGGAAGGATACCGCGAGGGAAATTGTAAGGTCCGTACCTACCTAGATCACTCCAGCTTCGTCGCAAAAATTGCGCGGTTAGGGCGCTAATCCTTACGGGCCTGCAACCATCGACCCCGTTGCAACGCTTCCCACCCACCGCGATTGATGTAGAGATCAGCGTGCTCTCTCAAACGCGTATTTTGTCTTCTTTGATCGCCCTGTCTCGCCATCGTACCACATCCGACGTTACTGAAGGTTAAGGCCTTAATTTCAGCGTTCCCAAAGATTTCTCTTGCTTTCCTTCTCCACTTTCAGGTCACTCCGCAGCTCAGTTATCACTACGAAGCGCTCTTATCACCAGTTTTGTCCAAGGGTTGCTTTTGAAGGCAAATCTCGGGATCGGCCGACTAGTAGGAGGGATACCACTAGGGAAATTGCAAGGTCTGTCCTACCTAGATCACTCCAGCTTCGTCGCAAAAATTGCGCGGTTAGGGCGCTAATCCTTACGGGCCTGCAACCATCGACCCTTCCAACGCTTCCCACCCACCGCGAGAGGTGGTGAGATCAGCGTGCATTGATGTAGAGATCAGCGTGCTCTCTCAAACGACGTGCTCTCTCGCGTATTTTGTCTTCTTTGACCGCCCTTTCTCGCCATCGTACCACATCCGACCCCTGTTGAAGGTTAAGGCCTTAATTTCAGCGTTCCCAAAGATTTCTCTTGCTTTCCTTCCCACTTTCAGGTCGTTCCGCAGCTAAGCTATCACCACTATAGAGCGCTGATAGCACCAGTTCAATCCCAGAGTTTGCCTTCAAGGTATGGGAGCCAACCTTGCTTCGGTAATTCTTGTGTGAGTTTGATGTACTGCGACTGTTCATTCATTAATCGGAAACACTCGTCCATTTCGGACTGTGTTGATGTTATAATGAAAGCAGTCGTCGATGTATCTGCAGTACATCAAAGGGGCACGACTCAGTACTGGTTCTTCAATTTCTGCTCATAAAGCAGACCGCAAGTACTGGTGCTAGCGCTGACCCATGGCCAAACCTCTGATCTGAGAGTAGTAACAACCTGACCAATTAAAGGTGTTACAGTGTAGGCACTCTTCAAATGAGGTAATTTTATGCGCTTTGTTGAGTCCCAGCGCCTCAATGCCATACACATGGCTATTCAACATTTCGGATAATGTCTGGAGAGCCTGTCCGTTTTGAACGTTCGTATGAAGCGCGGTGATCAAATAACTCTGTCACACAATCCGATCTAATGTTCGAAGTGTGCAAGCGTTGAAGGAAACTTTGGTCAGCAGCAGGCTCACAATAGCGCTATACGGTCAGCTGGTCCACCTGCGCAGCTTATAATAGTTCGAATTTTAAAAGAGTCTGCTGACATTGATCTCATATCTTCCAGAGCAAGTTTATGGGTCTTGACTAGACCACACAAGAGTGGAAAAGTGGGTTTGTCTACACAGAAGCTGTCATTTACCGAATAATTTCCGAATGCCATTCATTCATGATTGAGGCGTCTATGTCTACTGTCTTTCGAAACTGTTCAGGGTAGCGCGGCGATAAAAAGTTGGATCTTGTAGATGAAGCTCTGTTATCTCACGGTCCAATGACTGCGGCATAACTACGAACTCCCCACCATTTATCGCCAACAGAGATGCGCATTGCACCGTCCGATCTTAACACACGTACTTCTTTGAATCCTTGCCACTGCTGATCAGTCAAATTGTTTTTTTTTCAATTGCTAATCCTTATTCTTGCCTTTGAAGTTCCTTTCTACAGAGCAGTTAGGAAGTCCTCTTCACACTCCGTGTGATTTGGATTTTTTTGAATTCTTTCCAACAAAAGGTCTTCAAATATGACTGTTTTGGTGAGTTCGGCTGTTTCGACTAAGGGAAGTAACCATAGAAACAAATCTATGGTCACCAGCTTCAGGCAAGTTTGCAAAAATCTGCTCACCTGTAGGAATATAGGTTTGTATGATGTGGAACAGGACGAGTCGTTTCATCACTATAAACGCTCGAATACAACTCCAGTACGCTGAAATAAAATGGCACATTATGTTGATGACAGACAAGAAGCCACAAAGAATGGTTAGCAGCACATACAAGTAGTGTTGACATGCGGTAGGAGGCGTGTCGATTGTGTTACTCATTTATGTGAAAGAGAAATTATTTTATGGAAGGTTAATTAGTTGGTGTAGTTAATGGTGATGTGCAGGCTCCGGTGTGTAGCATTAGGTCGAGTGAGAGGTGTATAAGAAACACGCAAAGAATTTGTAAAAAAAAGTTTGCAGTGTGGTATTGTAGTAGCCGAATTCCTGTCAGGAGCCGTGGAAGGAACCGCAGCATGGTGTAGATCAAAACATCCACACTATGGCAGCATGACAAACGCGAGAGCGGCGCGAGGGGAGGCGCGCACGGGTCAACCGCTTGTTGGGAACTGCCTTACAAGGGGGTCATTTTTATGATATTTGGACGGTGGGACGTATTTGGAGTTTCCAGAGAGGGGAAGGAATGTAGAAGGGGGGAGAGCCATGTCTTAGCTCTGTCTATTAGGAAAGGGGGATTTTCGCTTATGAAAGCCTCCCCTCTTTACTCCGTGACAGCGAGGAAAAAATGGCGGGGTGGGGGGAGGCGTATGGAGGAAGACGTCCGTTCGTCTTTTCCTCTACCAATGAGGGGCGTTCATCTCCTCCTCCACCAAGGAGGGGGGGGGGGAGGGGAGGAACCATCAGAATTCCAAAATCCTCCCAACGTGACAGTTGAACTTGGAGTCAAGCGCATGACACTATTGGAAGGTAACATACACAATCAATGAGGTCATATGGCTTAAACTATCCTTTGTGCAGGATAAGGCTATCCACGACGATCACAGGAGTGCCCTCGTCGCGGATTAAAAGGCACTATAAGGGTATCAGGGCCCTATAGTGTGAGAAAATCTGAGCAAGTAGACGAATCTCTTGCGCTCGACCCCTAGCATGCAACTACGACATAGCGACCAATTCCGAAACGGGCGATTTAGCGCGGAATTTTCTACTTCACTACTCTTCATAGTCAGCAATTGCTGCTCAAAGCCAGCAAGTGCAGGAAACCCGTCCGGACACGCCATTTCCTCATCCCATCCTACGGCTACAGAGAGCGGTCTGTGAAAAGCTTCATCGAGGGCTTCTTTTTCTCCAGGCAACTCCGCACTCCACCCTTATTGTTGAGCGCACTGTTACAAATTTGAGCCCGGGTTGATGCGCTGATTCCTCAACCATAGGAACTGTCATTGAGGGTTCAGAAATTGCGTAAAAAGATAGCTAATAGCAATCCTGAACCTTTCAAATGCCGCTGTAAAATAAGTGGCGGCAGACGCATGCACACACCTGCACCTGAATTAACACCTGAAAATGGGCTGACTGAGCTGAATTATTACCAAACCAGTTTGGGTGCGCACGCATTCGCTTGTATCCCACGGGCATGCGGCGGTATGAAACAGGGCCGCTAATTTTTATATTACTTCCTGGTAAACTCCGACTACCTCGGTGCACGCTCCACCCACCACTAGAACTTGACCTCCCTTCCGTTCTCAAATTCAATCCACTTTTTCCCGCTCTCCAGGAGTTCTTTCAACCAAGTAGTAATGTTTTGTGGATAAAGCCGAGCTTGTGCGTGGCCAACCTCCATCTACTCTTTTCCTCGGTCTCCATGACTTCATGGAACCGAGTTATAAGCCCAGTAGCAAACTCCGCCCACTTCCGGTGTGTGCCACGCCTACATTTGGCTTCCCCTTCCTCTCCTAACCCCTACCCACGCTTTTTTTCCGGTCTCATATCATCTCGGAAGCAAAGTATGATATATTAGGGAGCGCAATCAAGCTATGAATTCTCGTGGCAAACCCCGCCCACTTGCGCGCTCCGCCCGCCAACAACGGTTGACCCCCTTCCCTTCACCCCCTATCCTTTTTCGGTCCCTGGCACTTCCAAGAGCCGAGGCATAAGCCTGGTTGCAGTCTTGACATTTGGTTTTCCCTCCTCATAACCTCTATCCACTGTTTTCCGGTCTTTAAGTCATCTCGGAGCCGATTTATGAGCTCTTGTAGAAAACGTCGTCTACTTCAGGACACGCTCCGCCCATTGTGGGCGGGCCTCCGTTCACATCATGTGCTGGAAATACCTTAGACATTGCTCCCCTGCACTAATTTGTTTTCTGCTCTGTAGGCTTTCTCCCAACCGAGTTATGAATTTTTTCATAAAGCACTGCTTTTTTAGAGAACGCCCCCCGGGGGTGGGTCTCCCTAATTCGATCTGACTTACCAATGCACACCTTTACCCACTTTTTCCCAGTTTCGAGGCTGTTTTGGACTGAATTTGAAATCATGGTCGTCAGTACCACTCATTTCGACGCACGCCACGCCCACTGTGGGCGGGGCTCCGCTTAGCTGATGTGTGTTTTGTACTTCGTGAGACCTTGCCCACCCATCCCACACTTGACCCGGTCCCTCCAGGCGGATCCCGAGGAGCTAGGGAATTTCGTGACAGACATACAGAACGACAGACGAAGCGCTTTATGGTACGCAGGAAATTCGCGCGCCGCCGCAACGTGGATCTCATACATCCGATACAGCGTGTGCAAGTGTGGCCGTGGCTGTTGATCTCGTTCACCTGCAGCAGTTCCCCTCCCTACTCCTTCCTTTAGTCGAACTCCGCAACAGGTACACGGCTTGAATGAGGGTGTAAGGAGTGATATGCACGAACGAAAACTTAGCATCAATCATACAGAGTTCTGAAACCAGTATGTTCGAGGAATTGATCCAATATTGCTTGCGCTTTTCTGAATGACAAATTCATAAGCGATCATTTTCATGTTCGTGTATAAAAAGTTTCTTTCCACACATTCGAGTTCAGAGTCGAAACCACATATGTTTGCTTGTCTCAATGGCATTCATTCATTCTTTTCCGAACCAATTTCCGATGAAAACTCCCGCTTTCCATTGTCTGTTTTGTCTGAGAAGCAAATAAATGCTGCAGTATAGTTTTTGGTTTCTGATTTACTGTTTACTACACATCGCACGATTAGGTTAGAAGAATATTCCGAATATTCTGAGTAGGATCGTAGTAATGTGCGATAAAGTACAGGTTTCCTTCTGGCAGAAGACACCCTGGAGAGGGCGTCCGGCGCAAAACGTTGGCGGGATCGCCTTATCACCCGATCGCCTTCCAATGCCTATACACGGAATTTACGATAAAAAGTCAGCCTAGTATTGATAAAGTGGTGGTCAATGATGCGAAGGTGAAGAAAAAACCGAGAAAAACAAACTAGAAATAGGACTCCCTCTCCCCCTCCCTCTGTTCGCTTATCCGCGCATAGGCGTTTCTGATAGACGCTGAGCTCATCAGCCGCCTCTGCCAGGCGGCTGAAGCCATACGAGGAGCGGGTGGGTGGGCAGCGACTATAGCGGCGCGGAGATGGCCATACTATATCGCCGATAGCATATTCTTTTGTGCGAATTGAGTGCCGGTCTACACCCTTAAAAGGTCCACCTGTCCTTCACTACATAGGTTTTCCCTCCTTCAACCTCCGCTTCATCCTGGAAAGGGCAAGCCTCGGGATAAAATGTGTGTGGAAAATGTTCACACGCATTTTGTCAGGAGGCTAAGAAAAGTGATGGAGCTGGAGGTGGAAAAGGTCTGAAATAGGAAAAGGAAGCAGAAGAAACCCCCGATTACGCACCGAGTGAGGTCCTCCTCCGCGGACGGGATAGATAAGGGACGTGTTAGACGAGCCGAGAACCTAGCTGCATTTGCTCCAGTGCCGATGACACTGAACCACAACACAACTGCTGCCGTAGCTGCGTTCGCGTTTTTCTCGCAGCGTCACGTAACAACCAACCGCGGAAGGTAAGGCTTGTGGACAAAGGTGTGGGCTCATTGTGCTCTCTCGTCCCTGAATTAGATAATCGGGTGAAGCGAGCTTCTGGCGACTTGTCGCGAACTTTCAAATCGCAAAAGGGGCGCGACATCACTGTTCGCCTGTCTTCTACCCGGGGTGTGCTTTTAGTGACACACTTCGGGTAGAAGACAGGCGAGCATGCATCTCGCTGTGCTCTCTCGTCTCTAAATTAGATTTTTCACCTGGCGCACAGTGCATTTTAGACTGTCTATTTCTATCTGCCTCAAAGGTCCCATAACCAAGAATGGAGACCGTTGTTTTGGTGTTCTTGATTTTTGATTTTTGACGATTCCTGTCTTTTTTCATTCCGGTCCATTTCACGCATCTATTATACTTTCATTTTCGAGGGCAAAGCTACAAAAACTGACTGGGAGAAGTGCCATGAAGGTCGGCCTTGTTAGAACACACGTCAGAACACGGCTGAACATCAATGTTGACGCAACTACTGGAGACCGTTGACTATTTCACTAATCTCCAAAGGACGGTCACCCACAATGGTGATTCTGAAGCGGACGATTGCACTCGAATTGCGAAAGCTGCCGCCATATTTCAGCAAGCAAGTCAATATGGTCAGGTCATAGACATCGCAAAACATTAAATTCTGTAGCACATACTATTCTATCGTAGTTCCTACTACACTGTATGCGAAAGAATAATGGAAAAGTGCCGGAGATGAGATTGCTCAACACCGGCAAGAATGGAAAGAATTTGTCGCCTGATTTGCTTTGCTGCACGGAAGGAACTATGAGTAAGCCTCAGATAATGCTATGATTCATCGCAAACCGTGCACCCAGGGCTAGCTGACCGAGCGCTGTAACGCATCGATTGTGCCTTGGTGTTCTTGCCAGGTAACGTTAGTATATCAACATAATATGTCACATAAAACACGGAACGAAGTTGAAGTTAAGGCACTGGTCATGCGCTGAGACTTCATCGACTATCGTTTTTCGTTGATGCATATCGCCCTGAAAATTGTGACATAGACGCACCGAAGCGAGAACAAGTGGCAAAAGCGACAGTTTGGTCTTTTGTATGAGTACCCTTGCTGGCGGAAACATGGGCAGCACTGTTTCTTTTGCCATCACTGTCCTCAGCGTCTTTATGTCGAAAACTGGTGAGTTTG